TTACATTCTGGTCATGAGACAGGGGGCTCTCGTGGCCTAGAGGTTAACGTGTTGGCCTCTCATTCAAATGTCCCGGATTCGAATCCGGGTCATCATCATCATTCAGTGCCAGATCTGCGACAGATCGGCGATCATATTGTTCTCCATTCATTCCTTTGCTCGGATGCTCTCAGAAAAGCTACGTTTCCCTGATCTTTCCCTGTTACCCATTTGTTTAGGTTCCCTAAGTATGTTGTTCTGGGCCTTCTCCTGCCTTGCTTGCCCTCAATTTTGCCAGTGAGAGCTAGATGTTTAAGACCCTTATGTCTATTTATGTGTCCAAAAAACTGCATAATTTGTCGTTTCCTGATTGTTTTTAACATCAAGCGTCCCACGTGGGCTTCATCAAGCACTACCATTGTTCTGTTGCTTCTATTTTATTTTCACTGTTTTTAGTGATTGTCCAGCATTCATAGCCATATAGGCCTACATGTAGAAGGGTTACCAAACATAGCATTTCAGAACTTTCATTTTGGTGTTCATTGAAATGTTTCTATTTTTCGGGATTGGGCTCATTTTATAGAAACTAGCCTTAGCCATTGTAATTCTTCGTCTCCGTCTTATTTCTGTGGAACATTTGGCATCAGATGTTATCATATATCCTAGATATTTAACCTGTTGGACTTGTTTGATCTTTTCACCTTTGCTGATGAGATTACAACAAGACTTTGCTGCTTGTTTGGATACAATGCATTCTGGTTTCTTCACATTCAACAATAATCCTTTACGTTCACTTTTGACTTTCTGTTACAACAGTATCTAGAAGCAATTGAAGGTCATTTTCTGAGCCTGCTATCAAATCGAATCCGGGTAGCGACCGAAAAATTTTCTTTTCTAAAATTGTCTTATTTCACCTCCTTTCCTGCTCTTTAGCAATGTTCTGTCTTGTGCTTTCGTCCCCACTTTTTGCCCACACCCCTCACCTCCTTTGCCCCTTCCTCTGGGCTCCTTACTCTTTCTTCAGCCTTTCAATTCTCCTTGGCTCCTTCTTACTGCTGTCTTTCAGCCACACCCCTGATTTTCTGGTAGATAGGCCTAGGAAAGATCTACACCTAGCTTTCTCGGACAAGGGCAAAAAATCTCGGAGGGTCCGTGTGCAAGTTGCGAAAGTTAAAGATCCCTTGGTGGTCTAAAATCGATCAATAAGAGAAGCAAAATTTCCTACCAATTGAAAACGTTTAATATGTCCCGCGCGCTCCTACGACCTTATGCAGTGGCGAGCGCCGTTAAACACTACCCCCCCCAAAAAAAAAAGGTCTCGAGACTTTATCCTGGAAAATAACTCTTAAAACACTCTCTTATTGTTTTCTCTGGTAAGTGTGTGTGCTAATATAGAATAGGCCTTGGTGCTAATCCTTCTTGTGGTAGGTGGCACTAACGATGCCATACCCATCTTTTTTTCAGCGATACTATAACAAATCCTGTTTAATGTAGCACCCGGCGAATTACAATCATTATCAAATTGATTCGCCGCAAGCAACAGCTCATTTTTAGGCTATTTTCTTTTTTTCCGGCCTAGTTGTTCCCCTGGTGGAAAAAATATAGATCTATACTTAGTGGCGGCTCGTGGTTTA